ACCAGTGCGGCAAATTTTTAATTTTTAATCCAATGCCGAAGAGACAAAGTCGAGCACTGTATCAAGCAATTAAAAAACTGTCAACCTTCAGTTCCCAAAATAGGCTTTGAACAATAGACGCATATACTTATTAAATGGGTTAGCTTTTTTCTATTCAAATATTATTCGTACGATGTACTTAACATCAGTAACCAATGAGTTTACGTCTCCAGTGTCAGAGTTTAAATTTTCATGTGATATTCGCACTCATATAATCATTACATGAGTAAACTTGTTATTCTGATGCTATGGGAAAAGTACCACTTAACCTGTGTACGTACTATTAACCATGTTTAAACGACGGGTACCATTATTAGAGCATGAACAAGTCACTCATCCGGAGCATCAGAGTTCATCTACGGATTTAGTTTAAACATATTTATTTATAGTGGAATGGGAAACAAGTTATTACAACTTATATTAATCCCTTTCCACTTTGCTGGTGCGAGTGCTGCCTTGTATCGGCATTAGCCTGTTCTTTTTCGATATCTACAAGGGTGTCTTTTAAGTGCAAAATATATTGCTCTCTCTTAACACGGGTCAGCCATTTATAGTCCCCTTCCGACGGACTATCATCATTTCTCAAGACCATTCTCGCAAATGGTGTCAAGGGAGAGCGGAAAATTCAGCCCCTAAAATTTTCTCCCCGGAACGGAGATCGAACCAGGAACCTTTTTTGTTTGTAGTCCGATGCGCTAACCACTACACAATGGATTTGATGCTGTTATATAAAAATAAGAAGATGTGGTATGACTGCATATGAGACACCTCTACACCAGATTTCGAATGACATATAAGTTTACAACTATAGGTCACCGTACAATACCTTCAACAATGAGCGAAACCCAAACCACATATCAGTTATAAAAGGCCCCGAAATGACAAATGTAAAACAATCAAACGAGAAAAATAACGGTCTGATAAAATAATGCAATGAACGAAAACGGATATGATATACATTAACAAACGACAACGACTGAATTATAGACTCCTGATTTGGGACAGGCTCATGCAGAATGTGGCTTGTTGGTGCAAAACCCTCCTCCAACCTGGGATCTTTCAAAATAAAATTCTTAGTATAAAGTTTTTACTGTTGTTTATCCTTTTGATGTTTTTCTTTTGACAAATGTGTTGTGCATTTTTTTCCTTGACATGTTTTTTTTTATCGCTGGGTTTCTTTCGTCCCCTTTCTTTTTATATATGTCCAGAACGATATATGTTTTGTTTGCATTAAATCCTGAATAGAAATTCATGACAAATATAAAGCAACAGAAACACGTCGGACAGCATGTTTTGCTTAATATACAGTGGCGGGTCCAGAAATTGTTTTAAGTGGAAGCCCACTGACTGCATAAGAGGGGTCGCTCCAGTCATGCTTCAGTGATTCCCTAAATAACCAACTAAATTTTCCCACAAAAAAGAGGGGCCTGCTCCCCTTAAATCCGCCTGTGTTATATGTATATATACCGGTGTCCGATATTTTTTATACAGGGACTCATATCAACATTATATACTTGTAAAGTGAGAAATACATGTAGGTTAATATAGTTTAATTTACGTTCTGTACTTAAGAATTTGTACTAAACTATGCATCTCATTTGCTACACTCGTAGTTACGTTGTAGCTATGTCGAATCAAAGCTCAGCTTATGTTTTTACAGTTTGTTAGGTAACATATTGACTGCAAATAAAGCCAACTAATTTTAACGGTTCTATGTGGTTATAGTAACCTCAAATTCTGACACACATATACCCTCCCTTCCTTTCGCCAATTTAAAATTTCAAGTTAAATGATAACAGATTATGGACCATTTTCGTTGGTTTTTGATGCATTTTTTTTTATAGCAAGCCTGAAAGGAAATTGAATGAGTCGCTTTGAATAAACGGTATAAAAAGACGCAATGAAGGTATTAAATCATAATGATAATGACAAAAAATTGGATCAGTATTTTTTGTTGAAATACATGCTTTAAAATATCAACGATATTGATGATAATTAAGTCAGTATCATCCCGATATGGTAAAAAAAAAATTGACATAATAATACGGACGAATTTGAAATAATAAGTCTTTTCTCGGCTACAGAAATGACCCTCCCCTTTTCCCCTTAAATTTCATTGTTGCGTTCTTAATTCCAGTTTTTGTAACATTTTGATACTTTAATTAATAATTTTCTTCAATTAAAATATTTATCAAAATATTGTATTTCATTTGGAAAGATTTTAAATGATAGGAAATGTTCAATTAGCACAATTTTACTGTATTTTCACACTTGTTGTCAGGCGCGTCATAGGTTTTTCCGAAATTTGGAGCCTCGAATTTGACACAAATTATTTTTGAATATTTGTATGTTCTGCCATTTTGTAAAATTTGGTAATTTGAATATATATTTATTGCATTCGTCGATTATATCGATATTTTGCTACACAAAACAAGGAATTAGCTATCATTTATATAGTTTATTTGTTAAACGGAAGCGTTATCATTAAAAAATGTGAGTATTTGATATGATTTAATGTGATATGTGGATTTTATGATAACCAAGCAACTTTCGAAGTTTGCATACAGAATATATACAAAAAGTTTAGTATTTTCGGGAAGATTTCATGTAATTTCAGTAGTACGTAGTATGAAAATGAAAAAGGTTTCATGTATGCGTTAAGCATTTTAAGTACACAATTACTAATCAAAATATAAGGCATGCAAGTATAATGTGTGACTTATTTGTGTACAGTTTCCTGTAATATATTCCGGCCAGTTTCATTAGCGACAATACAACAAAAGGTTCTTATGTGATTATCGAAATGAACTAGAATTCAATTTTATTAACCATTTGTTTAAAATAATTAGTATGGCATTACATGTATTCATAATTTGTATTTGTGAGCATGGTGAGAAAGAAAACATTAAGCTGTCAAGATAAATCATCGGTGATAAGAGTGCAATGAAATAGATGTTGAAATGTGGTAATAAAAATAAGATATACAGTCGGGTCGCTTTACAGTACTGAGGATGGAAACAGTTTCTTAATCATAAATGATATAAATATTGAATATTTACTTTCTAGCCAAAGTATCAAATCCAATATTGCGCTAAAGACGAAAATTAAAGTGGTACATTAATCAGAAGAGATACTATGCTGTTATTTTATTTCGTTTTTTAAATCACCTTTCCTTTGAAAAGGTGTGCTTTTGCCAACATTTGGCGTCCGTCGTCGTCCGTCCGGTGTAACATATTCCAAACAACTTTCTCTGAAACTACTGTGCCAATTCGCCGTTTCAGAATCTCATGCATTCTGGGTAATATTTTCACAAGCGTACATCAAAACGTTGTGATTGGTTTAAGATGTTCTAAACTATGGAAATTCAAACAATGACGTACGTTATTTTCATTTTGGTGTACGAACAATGGTCCTTAAGATTCTGAAAAGGCGAATTCAAACCACACTTAAGCGGAATATCCGTAGGGTATCAAGAATAAAGTTTGTGTTTTATTTTCTGTTTCGTCAAAAACATGGCCGCCATGGCTAAAACATAGAACATATGGGGAAAATGCACTGAGTTTTTTCGCTTATATCTAAAAAATTAAAGCATTTAGAGCTTATCTATTTTAAGGGATAGTCAAGTTCTATTAGCCCTGAAATTTTCAGATGAATCTAACAACAATTGGGTTGCTGCCACTAAATTGGTAATTTTAAGCAAATTTTGCAGTTTTTGGTTATTATCTTGAATATCATTATAAACTGTCAACCGAAAAAATGTGCAGCAGAGTAAGATATACAAATAATTTTATATGACCAAAATTGTCAACTGATCCCTTAAGGAGTTATTGCCCATTAAAGACAATTTTTCACACTTTGTTTATCTATAGATTTCCAACTTTGAAAAATTTTCTCCTCTGAAACTACTGAACCAAGTTAAACCAAACTTTTTGGCATTTTTAATTAAGCCACCCATTAATATATATTGAAAAGCAAAAAATAATCATTGATGAAAGATTTAATCAAAAAGTACAGGTGAGCGATTCAAGCTCTCGAGAGCCTCTTGCTTTTATATCTTTCTGATTTGTAATGAGATGATATAATGGAAACAACTTTATAACTTCAAATAGTTTCCACACCAACGGGATATTTATTGGTGATGTGTGTTGAGTAGATAATATGTTTTGGATAAAGGATATTTCAGTTGAGAGCAGCAATAACTGGTATTCGATTCCTAATAAACAAAACATATTTCATTTAAAGGCAACGAGACAGCAGCCCAAGACATAACTTTAATCGAAATTAAATTGGTGACTGAAATGTAATCTCTGCTGGCACAAAGCATAAACGTGTTACTTTTTGTCGATCAGGATGTATGCATTATACTGTTTTTATTTTGCATATTTAATTAATTTGGCTAGTTTTTTCGTAATGAATTATGTTAAACTATGTCGCCGGCAAAGATAGAAAAAAAAAAACAACAGATAGAAAAGTGATATTGCACAGTCAGTTTTTTTTTCAAATATCTTAAATTTAAAAGCTTCAATCCCTTCAATCATGAAAACCAATCAAACGAATTCCTGCTTTATTTAAGACATATTCAAAAAATATATATCTAACAAAAAAATAATTTTTTGTTTGTCACTGTGTTAAAACAAGGAATTGTATATTTTAGATATACAATTCCTTGGTTAAAATATGTGTATCCTTCTGCTGGAAAACATAGTGATACGTTCACAGACAGTAGATTTGTTCAAGATAAAAATTAAAAAAATTAGAATAACACAGTATAAATTTCATGTACACGAAACGATTTTTTTTAGGATTGATCTTCGTTACGAACGCTCAAAGTCGAACATTTGTAAGGGCCCGAAATCGAGATACAGTCTGTCTCATCTGTATACAGAACAGACACGGATAAAAATTAAGATTCCCCGTCACCGAGTCTTCATATTATACCCATCTAAGCTTCTGAAAGTTTATGCAGACGGAAAAGTTAAAAATAGTGGATCCTTAAGACATGTTATTTTGTACAAAATGAAAGCAGATCGAATGGTAAGAACGCGAATAATATAGAATACTAAGATGTTTGTGAAACTATAGTGCATTTTGAGCGGGTTGACGACTCAAGGTACGTTCAGAACAGACATGGAATTATTTCGTGTTGTTTTCATATTATTTCCCGTACATTAGATCACAATGCCTATGCTATTATGTTACTGTTACACGCCATTATTCCGACAGTCCATTAGCCCGACAGCTCATTAGTCCGACGGCCCATTCTTCTGACAGCCCATTAGTCCAACAACCCAAGTCCGACAACCCAATAATCCGACAACCCATTGCTTCGACAGCCCAATAATCCGACAACCCATTAGTCCGACACTAAGAAATAATTATTGTGCGGCATCAGGGTAAAACAAAAAATGTCTGTCTGTATTATAACGTATATGTAATTACATATGTACAGAAATAATTCCGTATATATGTACTATAGGATAGGTATAGTTTGAATACTTTTTATATACTTAATTCAAAATCTGTATATATGTAATTAAAATTTGTGTATAGAGGTATATTATTCAATTATGTATTTTCGCGCCTTTTCGTATATACAGAAATCGTTTATGTATTTACAGAATTAAAAAAACGGATATACAGAACTATTTCTGTATGGATCGAATTCCGTATATACTGAATTATGACGTAACAATTTTTTTCATACGCAAATGCAGACTCAGTCTGACTATACAGAATTTAAATTAAGTATATATATACATAATTCAAATTATGTTATACAGGGAATTTTTTATACGGATTCTCATCAAACTATTTTCAACAAATTACTAGCGGGGTCAGAATATGATTTGCATTATAAAATACAGAATCTATTCTATATATTGGATATTGTGTGGCTCCAATTTGCCCAAATCCGACTTGTTTCCTTAGGGATTAGGTGGGCGTTTCTGTGTCTCATGTAAAACAACCTATGACTTTTAAAAAAAAAATGATTGATTGGTTGATTGGTGATTGCTTTACGCCCCATCAGCACAAAAAGACTATATCGCGGCGAGAAAAAATCTTAAATATGCTTAAAAGTGAGACAAACTGATGGATGCATTTTTTTAACGCAACCTAAGGGATTCTACTGGGGCCCCTTATTGTGATGCATTAACATCAGTGTACATTTTACAAGATATTGTCAATAATAGTAGTATCTGTTTTCTTCAATATTCACATTTTGCAATTGACCTTCAGCATCACACGCTTTTTTCAGAAACATCTTTCAATCAGTTTAATTGAGGTCTGGAGCTGGCATGTCAGTAACTGCTAGTAGTCCATTGTTAATTTATGTATCATTGTCATTTTGCTTAGTTTCTTTTGTTTTCTATTCTGACATCTGACTCGGACTTCTTTTAAACTGAGTTTTACTGTGCATATTGCTGTGTGTTTCTTTATTCTACATTGGCTTGAGGTATAGGGGGAGGGTTGAGATCTCACAAAACATGTTTAGCCCCGCCGCATTTTTGCGCCTGTCCCAAGTCAGGAGCCTCTGGCCTTTGTTAGTCTTGTATGTTTTAAAATTTTAGTTCATTTTTATGTTTTGGAGTTTAGTATGAGGTCTATTTTAACTGAACTAGTACTCATTTTTATTTAGGGGCCAGCTGAGGCCCACCTCCGTGTGCAGGATTTTCTCGCTGCGTTGAAGACCCATTGGTGGCCTTCAATTGTTATCTGCTCTTTGGTAAGGTTGTTGTCTCTTTGACATATTCCCCATTTCCCCAGTTTACTCCAAAATTACAAAAAAATCTATACATTAGTGTTATGCACAGTCAGATTGCCTCAACAATTTTCTTGACTTAACCAATGAATGGCAGACAAACCAAGCGTTAGTCCAGGAGAAGGGAAATCATTTGACAAAGACTAACGCGGGACAAGAAAGACCCACAATGTCTTAGACACATGATTTTTTTATTAGTTGTTATTGGCTTTGATCTAGTATCAGTAACTGCGAGTACTCTCAGATCTGTACTTTGTGTTTTTGTTGTAATGAGGGATGTATTATAAATACCCTGCCACGTCAATTGTTTTGTTATAAATTAAGCTGTTAGTTTTCTCAATTGAATTGTTCCATATTTTTCATGTCGGGACCATTTATAGCATTATACGGTATGGAGTTTTCTCATTGTTGAAGGCCGTACGGTTGCCTATAATTGCTTACATCCACTTCATTTGAACTTTGGTGGTAGTTGTCTTATTCATTTTATTAGCAAGCAAATCACATATCCTTACTATTATATTACACAAGAACAAACAGCCAATCAAATTCAATAAAGAAGTAGTCACAGTTTGCAACGGTCCAAGTTTGTTGTGGTCCGAGATGCCCCTATAGCTTGAAATAACCAGCACATAGAATATCTTATATTACCGTTTTCTGCAGCAGAAAACGAGAATACCAAGGCATCAACCATTCGTCTTTTATAAGGAGGGGGGATGCATAGTTTTTTTCTAGAGTCTATTTTTTTCTTTTAAATGCAAAGCAAAAAAAGGTTTTAAATAGTTTAAGTAATATTTGTTAAGAAACAGTATTCATTCAACAGGTACACAGCATTCATATTAAATACTTTTTTGGGGCTTTATTTATGAATATTTTTTTTTTTTTTCAAATCAAACAATTAAGAAAAAAACATCCCCCCCCCTCCCTCAAAAAAGATAAATGGTCGGTGACTTTAAGATTTACGAATTTAAGATGATTATAATGATTTAAGCTGATTGGGTGATCTCGGTTAAGATGCTGTACAACGTACCATTGACTGCTTTTTTTTTTTAGAAATCACATGTAGTCCACCAAAGAACATTTCTAAGATATATCCATCAATTGGTCATTGCCATAAATTTTGCATAATCAGGGGATCACTAGTACTGCATACAATCTATTTTAGGAAAAATAAAGGGCTCTGGATCTTTATAATAGATCTACAGCCCTGAAATTTCCAGAGGAAGTAGAAACTACATGTGAGTCATGAATTTTGTTTGAAACGTTCACAAAGATGGTGAAGGGCCTATAAAAAACTATACAGAACATATCAAACTCTTATGTTTTACTTGTGTTTGTATTGTTATTTTCTATGTACATATCTGGCTTAAATATCTTGTTATTTTATACTCACTTTATCAGGACCCTTGCCCTCAAGGGACTATTTGCTATCCCTGTTGTACATGCAATTGTACGCGTGTATTTTTCTGTCCTTTACAACCCAACAACAAGATGTCTCATTCGTCTGAAAATTTCAGGGCAGATAGATTTAAGCCTAATGAACATTTTTACTTAAATATACCTCAAAAATAGTGGTTGTACAACATGTACAACTTATTATCTTTTTCTTAACAAAAATTGTACAGGTAATTAGTAATTACCTGTACAATTATATTTGTAGAAGTAATAACTTGTATGATGGCATCCTACAAGTAATTGCTCGTTCAAAGTTTTTGCAGAAGTAATAACTTGTACAAAATAATAACATGTACACAATGTCTTTCTCGTTTCTTCTGTAGATATCTATAATGAAAATTAAAATTGAAATATTTGTCTTCAAACAGAAATTTGGGAGTTCAAACAATTACAAAAAATATATTACAAGCTATGTTAAAGGCGGTATGGAAGTATAAATGAAAAATGAAAAAAAAATAATCATACTTTGCTAAAAATTTTAAATAATATACGAGGTTATAGCTCTTATAAAGTGCTTTTTGAATATCAAAAGAAAAAGTGGGACATCGTACGTTTTTTTCGACAATAACATTAAATAGAAAATTGCTTGTAGATTCCTTTAAAAATTGTAGAATTTCTGAGTTACCTCCCCTTAATACGCTTAGATAAAATAATGATGAAGCATTTTACTTATTGAGGTGCTTAAATGAATCCTGGACGCACAATTTTTTTTAGATGCATCATATCATTAACCTGTGCATCCATGGGACGCGTCCTGGTCCTGCTGAGTCCTAGCATTATCAAGATCATCCTTTAGCTGTTAAATAGTATTTAAAAATATGCTTGTCAATATGTTGTCAATATTGTTTTTAACCAGAAATTGATTTCACTAATTATCATGCATGCTTGCAATAATGGTAAATTCCTAGAGAAACACAAAATGGTGATACAATTTAACCAGGCACATAATCACATAGTAAGGCCACACCAATTTAATTCCTTGTTCAACGAACCCGCCCGCACATAATTTTTTCTAAACAGATTTTTTTTTTTTTTTAATATTCCCGCTTCCCGCATGCGGAAAAGTAATCGTGTCTATTTCCCCTGCCGTTTTTTGTTGTTGTAAAAAGATATTAATATTGGTTTCCTTCCCCTTTACTTACATTCCCCTGCAAAATCATGCTGATTTTCGTTTTTAGAATAAAGTATGCAGAACTTCTGAAAGAAGTGTTGCCTTCAACTGCAACATTGTTTGCCGGCGGAACAAAACTATCCAAACCCACTGAATGGTCCGGGTACACAGTTATCGTCCTTTGAGTTGTCCACGAATATAGTCCCTAGTGTGGACAGTGTGTTACTTGTCGATTTTTTTTATACCCCTTCCAAATTTATTTCTCCATGTTTCATGACTCAAATAGTAAGTATGGGGGTGAAATGACACTGTAAAAAAATGTGGGTCATGAATTTTAAAGTACAGTAGTGATTTGGTCCAGCTGAAAAATGTTAAAAATTAGCACTTCGGAAGCTGTCAAAAGATTTGAAGACCCCCTTAACATGAAATTGTCCATATTTTGAGTTAGAGCCGATGAAGTTTTCTATAATTTTGATATAATTTGTCACAAAAGTAGTACAACACACTGTAAAAATATTATTGAGAAAGCGCAGGTGGGATTTTTTAAATTTTCATTTATTGTCTAAAAGAAATGCACTACGAAATAACTGTGTACTCTGACCTAAGAGGTGAAATCAGGAAATATAGAATCTGTACTTTGGCAACTTCCCTGAATGATTTGATGGTGTCAATTTATCAAATAGCATAAAACTAAAGGATTTAAACTTTTATATGATAGAATTTATGCAAAAATTACCAATTTTGGTATTTTATGGTCAAAATAAGCATTTCATAGCTTTTTCAATTTTGATGCATAAGTGGCATTCTGACTTTCTATCTGACAGGTTTTTATGTGTCAATATTTGTGTTTCTATGCTTCAATCCAGTTGTATTACTCATTTGTGAACTCTGAATCTACAGAAAAGAAGATTATCTCAGACAATATGTGCAAAATGTGTTGTATATATATATGATCCTCGTCTAACGCCCTGTTTGGATCAAGTTAAATGTGAGGAGCTTGGAACATAAAAGTTGAAGTCCATTATAAAGACCTCACTTAATTTGTATAAAAAGCACTTAACAATGTCTTTTGTACCTGTTTTATGTCACATAACATCTTTCTTTTCTTCTGTAGGATAGCAAGTGGTTCAAATATAAGCCTGTTGAGACTAAAATTGCATGCATGTTTTTCACTAAAAAGTGAAAAATCTTTGTATCAGACCATACTGTCTGCAAAAAAGTTGAATGCAAGAGTCTTTTTGTGCTCATATTTATTGTATCATGTCACTTGAGTAAAGAAATGAAAGAAATGACACAAAATTTTATTTCCTATAGCTTCAATATGCATTTTTAAATGTAAATATGTGATACGGCCTAAATTGACCCCAAATTATTTTCAGTCTTACTTGGCCTAAGACCCTTTTAAACTAATGTGATATGTTATTTGTAAGTTTTCTTTCCATTTAAAGTACATTAAATACATACGTAAGGATTATTTATAACCAAAAAGCTTTACAAATTTAAAATTGCTGGAAAATATTACATCTTCATGTAAGGCCCCCCTTCATTGGAAAACCTCCATTTTTAGCCACAGGCTCATATAAATTTGACTTTTTAATAATTATGATAAGTCTGATAAATCAAATGAGTACTCTATTGCTTTTAATACATAATATATTATATATTAAGGCATTTCAAAAGTATTTTTTTGCAATATTTTAATTTTTTAAGCCCTAAATGTTGATAGTTGAAAATTTTCAATTTTAACGTCTAAATTTAACACACAAAGTTGAATATAGAATTAGTCATATTGTCTATAATATAAATCCTATTGCCATGAAACTTTGTAAGCAGTCTTATAATTTAAGAAGCTTTGGTCATACCAAGTTTCATTAAGATTGGTCAACTTTTTCTACCCTATTAGGTCCGGGTACACAGTTATCGTCCTTTGATTTTCGTTGTCCACGAATATAGTCCCTAGTGTGGACAGTGTGTTACTTGTCGATTTTTTTTTATACCCCTTCCAAATTTATTTCTCCATGTTTCATGACTCAAATAGTAAGTAGAGGGGTGAAATGACACTGTAAAAAAATTTGGGTAAAACAAGGAATTATTTGAATCTGGAACAATTTTGAATTCTGGAAAATTGATGAGAAATATATGATGAAAACTAACCCAACTAAATAGGGTTAGCCATGCGCGCATGGCTAAGGTGGGTTAGTTAGTTCATACTGTAATGATAGTGAAAGTAAAATTAACCTTAGCCATGCATGCATGGCTAACCCTATTTAGTTGGATTAGTTTTCATCATACATTTCTAATCAATTTTCCAGAATTCAAAATTATTCCAGATTCAAATAATTCCTTGTTTTCATGAATTTTAAAGTAAAGTAGTGATTTGGTCCAGCTGAAAAATGTTAAAAATTAGCACTTCGGAAACTGTCAAAAGATTTGAAGACCCCCTTAACATGAAATTGTCCATATTTTGAGTTAGAGGCGATGAAGTTTTCTATAATTTTGATATAATTTGTCCCAAAAGTAGTACAACACACTGTAAAAATATTATTGAGAAAGCGCAGGTGGGATTTTTTTTATTTTCATTTATTGTCTTAAAGAAATGCACTATGAAATAACTGTGTACTTGGACCGAATGTCTATGCACCTATCCTGAGTCAGGAGCCTGTTGTTCAGTAGTTGTGGTTTGTTGGTGTGGTCCATAGTTATTTCTCCGTTTGTATATAGATTAGATTGTTGGTTTTCCTGTTTGAATTGTTTTACACTAGTAATTTTGGGGTCCTTTATAGCTTGCTGTTTGGTCTGGGCCAAATCTCTGTGTTGAAGGCCGTACTATGACCTGTAATTGTATTAACTCTAAATACATTATCAGGTTGGGAACAATCCTCCAAATGAATAATCCCTTAAATGAAAGACTGTCCCTCATTTTACTGTTGTAGAAAAGAAAACAGAAAAAACGTATATTTTTTAACCTAAAAGGGGGGAAAATTTATCATATTTGGAACAACTTTTCTAAAAGAGGGGTCCACTTATTTTTAATAATAAAGAAGATATATATAATTAAAGTCCATGCAGCACTATTAAAGGTGTCAGACCACCAATTAAAAGTCCCTATCTGTTCAACCAAAATTTGTAATTTTCACAGCTTTCTAAATTTTTTACCTTAAGTTTAATTTCTGGAAATCTTAAATTAGTATACTATGGAGTGCATTAATCCTCACTGTTGAATGCAAACTCATAGACAAGTAAATTTTGGCTCAAAATGGTCTTAATATATTTCTCTTTCACCAAAAGTTTCATTTCTGCCAATTTGTTGGTTAGTTTAAGTAAACAATGACATCAAATGCACTATTTTTTGTCCGAGTAGGCCTACTTTCACATACGTTCTAAATTGGAGGGAGTAATTGGTGGTCTGACACCTATTACAAAATTCTTGGACATGTTTTGACCATATAATACCAGATATATGTATAGTTCTTTGGGAAAAGGTTCTTCAAATGATATAAATATGTGCCCTTTTCAGGCTTTTGAACTAGAAAGTGGTTTTTCTTTCAAAAATTTGCAAATTAAAGTTTTTTTATTAAAATTTTCCAACCCGCTCGCCCCAATTTTTGGAGTCGAAAAAAAAACGGTAGAACAAGAATTTGCTTGGTGTGGCCTAATAGCTCATGCCATCAAACCAGAAATCTGAAGAAAATTGAAATTTGTTTTCCATTTCACACCTTTAACAGCAATATAGTTGTCAAAGAGGCCAATTAATCATTGAATGATTGCAAACCAATGTACTTAAATAAATAATTATGTTGTGCAACTCTTTTTATAGGTCATTAGAGGAAATCAGATCTAATTAATAGTTTTCCGCTTGTCAATAAAAAATTATATGTTAATTCTATTTGTCCAATACCTTCATTTAATTGTCTAGGTCAATCTGACAAACGGTAATATCAAGCCCTATCTATACACCTTTTCTCCTTCCTGCCCATTTGTTTCATTCTGGAACAGCCCTTAATGTTTAATTATACCCCATGCAACGAAGTTGCGGAAGGTATAATGTTTTTCAGCTGTCCATCCGTCCGTCCATCCGTACGTACGTACGTCCAAAAATTGGTTTCCGTTCTCTTACTTCAGTTTTCCTCAACCAAATGTTATGAAACTTATACACAATGCTTATTACCACAAAACACATATCAAGTTTGAATTTTGGTGGCGTCACTTTAACTGTTCCAGAGTTATGCTCCTTTACAAATGGAAAAATTGCTGAATTTTTTCTTTACCGTTCTCTAACTTTAGTTTGCCTCAACCAAATATTATGAAACTAATGTGCAAGGCTTATTACCACAAAATACAGATCAAGTTTGAATTTTGGTAGCATCTTTTTTTCTGTTCTAGAGTAATGCCCCTTTACAAAGGGCAAAATTGCTGAATTTTTTGTTTCCCTTCTCTAAGTTCAGTTTGCCTCAACCAAATGTTGTGAAACTTATACACAATACTTATTACCACAAAACTCAGATCAAGTACAAATTTGGGTAGTGTCACTTTTACTGTTCTTCATTTATGTCCCTTTATAACTTTATATGATATGCAAGCGGGGGCATCATCTGTGTCACATGGACATATTCCCCATTTATTTTTCTAGGAGTTATGCCCCTTTAACTTAGAATTTGGCCAGTCCTGTTCTTGTCATCGCAACTTCTCTGAAACCGCACAACAGAATTTCATGAAACTGAAGATAATAAGGACATGATACTATGCAGATATTCATATCAACAGGAAATTACGATTCAATTTTTTTCTAGAAGTTATGCCCCTTTAACTTAAAATTTTGGCCAAAATATACTTTGTCATCACAACTCCTCTGAAACCACACAACAGAATTTCATGAAAATTTGTAGATAATAAGGACATACTATGTAGATGTGCATATCCACAGGAAATTATGATTCAATTTTTTTCTAGAAGTTATGCCCCTTTGAACTTAATTTTGGTCTAAATATACTACTGCCACAGTTTGTAATCGCAACTCCTCTGAAACCACACAAGACAATTTCATGAAACTTTGTAGTTAATGAGAACATAATATGTAAATGTGCATATTCACAAGAAAATTTTTATCAGTTTACTTTTCAGTTTGTTTTGTAGAGTTATGAGTCTTTGAACTTAGGAATCTGTTGAGATTTTGTTTGTCCAGTGACAATGTGGGGGCTTTGGGGTATGTGAGCGTGCTCACAAAGGTTCTTTAATTATACATGCGATGTACAGGTACATAAAACAGTACTTCATATTTTTTGGCCGCATTTGGTGATCTCTCATCTTATCCTATATATATACACAGATATGTATATTCTTTAAATTAAATCAATATAATTCAGAAATTTCTAAAATAATTTTGAAATTGCTCAAACATATAAAATGTATTAAAATGAAATATTTTTTATACAGGACAAGGAAAAGTGAACGTGCCCAAATCAAAGGCCAGAAAAATGTAAGTATTAATAAATGAGTCATAACAACAGTGTAGGTGTGTTCAATTAACAAATTTTTACTAAAAGTACTTGAAAACATATTAAAAAGTGGATCTTAAAAATGCATAATTTCAAAATAATTTCATTTTTATGCACCACCTTGGGGTATATGTTTTTTCTGTCTGTGCATCCATTCATTTGTCCGTCCGTCTGTCCATCCGTCCGTTCGTCTGTCCCGCTTTAGGTTAAAGTTTTTAGTCAAGGTATTTGTTAATGAAGTTGAAGTCCAATCAACTTGAAACTTGGTACACATGATATGATCTATCTAATTTTAATGCCAGATTAGAGCTTTGACTTCAATTTCACGGTCCACTGAAGATAAAAAATGATACTGCTAGTGGGGCATCTGTGTAACCTGTATACTATGGACACATTCTTGTTTGTGTGTGTTATCTAGGTTATTAGTCTTCATCCTCTGCCAATTTTTAGCTCACCGGGGCCCTAAGGGCCCCATGTGAGCTTATGCCATCACTTGGCGTCCGTCGTCGTCCGTTGTCTGTCGTCGTTGTCTGTCGTCGTCGTCGTCTATCGTCGTCTGTCGTCGTCGTAAACTATTTAAAAAATCTTCTCCTCTGAAACTACTGGGCCAAATACCTTCAAAATTCAAATAAATGTTGCTTAGGGTATTTAGTTAATAAATTGTATCCGAAGTTTTGATCCATTTACAAACATGGCCGCCATGGCGAAAAATAGAACATAGGGGTCAAATGCAGTTTTTGGCTTATATCTCAAAAACTAAAGCTTTTAGAGCAAATCTGACATAGGGTAAAATTATTGAATTGGTCAAAATCTATCAGCTCTGAAATTTTCAGACGAATCGAACAACCCATTGTTGGGTTGCTGCCACAGAATTGGTAGTTTTAACAAAATTTTGCAGTTTTTTTTTTATTATTTTGAATATTATTATAGATATATATAAACTGTAAGCAGCAATAATGTTCAGCAAAGTAAGATCTACAAAAAAGTTAATATGACCATAATTGTCAATTGACCCCTTAAGGAGTTATTGCCCTTTAAAGACAATTTTACACAATTTGTTCATCAAGTTTGCTAACATTTAAAAATCTTCTCCTCTGAAACTACTGGGCCAATTACCTTCAAACTTTAACTAAATGTTTCTTAGGGTATCTTGTTTATAAATTGTATCCGAAGTTTGTATCCATCAACAAACATGGCCGCCATGGCTAAAAATAAAACATAAGGGTCAAATGCAGTTTTTGGCTTATATCTCAAAAACTTAATCTTTTAGAGCAAATGTGACAGGGGTAAAATTGTTTAATTGGTCAAGGTCTATCGGCCCTGAAATTTTCAGACGAATCGAACAACCCATTGTTGGGTTGCTGTACCGAATTGGTAGTTTTAACAAAATTTTGCAGTTTTTTGTTATTATTTTGAATATCATTATAGATATATATAAACTGTAAGTTGCAATAATGTTCTGGTAAGTAAGATCTACCAAAAAGTTAATATGACCATAATTGTCAATTGACCCCTTAAGGAGTTATTGCCCTTTAAAGACAATTTTACACAATTTGTTCATCAAGTTTGCTAACATTTAAAAATCTTCTCCTCTGAAACTACTGGGCCAATTACCTTCAAACTTTAAGTAAATGTTTCTTAGGGTATCTTATTTATAAATTTTATCTGAAGTTTGTATCCATCGACAAACATGGCCGCTATGGCTAAAAATAAAACATAAGGGTCAAATGCAGTTTTTGGCTTATATCTCAAAAACTAATTCTTTTAGAGCAAATGTGACAGGGGTAAAATTGTCTAATTGGTCAAGATCTATCGGCCCTGAAATTTTCAGACGAATCGAACAACCCATTGTTGGGTTGCTGTACCGAATTGGTAGTTTTAACAAAATTTTGCAGTTGTTTGTTATTATTTTGAATATTATTATAGATATATATAAACTGTAAGCAGCAATAATGTTCAGCAAAGTAAGATCTACAAAAAAGTTAATATGACCATAATTGTCAATTGACCCCTTAAGGAGTTATTGCCCTTTAAAGACAATTTTACATAATTTGTTCATCAAGTTTGCTAACATTTAAAAAATCTTCTCCTCTGAAACTACTGGGCCAATTACCTTCAAACTTTAACTAAATGTTCCTTAGGGTATCTTGTTTATAAATTGTATCCGAAGTTTGTATCCATCGACAAACATGGCCGCCATTGCTAAAAATAGAATATAAGGGTCAAATGCAGTTTTTAGCTTATATCTCAAAAACTAAATCTTTTAGAGCAAATGTAACATGGGGAAAATTGTTTAATTGGTCAAGATCTGTCGGCCCTGAAATTATCAGACGAATCGAACAACCCATTGTTGGGTTGCTGCCACCGAATTGGTGGTTTTAACAAAATTATGCAGTTTTTATACAACCGCAAAAAAATTTTTGTGGTAGTATATTGGTATGACGTTGGCGTCGTCGTCGTCCGAAGACACATTAGTTTTCGCACTCTAACTTTAGTTTAAGTGAATGGATCTCAATGAAATTTTACCATAAGGTTCAATACCACAAAAGGAAGGTTGGGATTGATTTTGGGGGTTATGGTACCAACAGTAAAGGAATTAGGGGCCAAAAAGGGGCCAAAAATAAGCATTTTTGTAACTTCCAGACATAACTTGTGTGTAAGTGTATGGATCTCTCTGACATTGTACCACAAGGTTCCATATCACAAAGGGAATGCTGGGATTTATTTTGGGGGTAATTGCCTCCAAATTTTAGGAATTAGGGGCCAAAAAGGGGCAAAAAACAAGCATTATTTTAGTTTCATGACAATAACTTGTGTGTAAGTCTATGGATCTCTCTGAAATTGTATCACAAGGTTCCATATCACAAAGGGAATGCTGGGATTGATTTTGGGGGTAATTGCCTCCAAATTTTAGAAATTAGGGGCCAAAAAGGGGCAAAAAACAAGCATTTTTCTAGTTTCATGACAATAACTTGTGTGTAAGTGTATGGATCTTTATGAAATTGTACTACAAGGTTCCATATCACACAGGGAAAGCTGGAATTGAGTTTCGGGGTAATTGCCCAAAAAGTTTAGGAATTAGGGGCCAAAAATAAGCATTTTTCTAGTTTTCAGACGAAAACTTGTGTTCAAGTGTATGGATCTCTCTGAAATTGTGCTGCAAGGTACCATACCACAAAGGGAAGGCTGGGATTGAGTTTGGGGGTGATGAATCATAAAGGGGTTCAAAAAATTTGGGGGGGGGGATTTTTTTTTCCTTTTTTTTTCTTTAAAATTTACCATTTTAAATTGGTTATTTCTGATTTATATATAAAAGCAAATAATAATGATATGGTTTGAATAGGTAAATTAAATTTTTTTAAGTTCTTAGACCACTTTCATTCTGTGTCAGAAACCTATGCTGTGTCAAATATTTAATTACAATCCAAATTCAGTGCTGCATCAAGCTTGAATGTTGTGTCCATACTTGCCCCAACTGTTCAGGGTTCGACCTCTGCGGTCGTATCAAGCTGCTCCCCAGCGGAGCATTTTATTTGTTATTATTTTGAATATTATTATAGATATATATAAACTGTAAGCAGCAATAATGTTCAGCAAAGTAAGATCTACAAAAAAGTTAATACGACCAAAATTGTCAATTGACCCCTTAAGGAGTTATTGCCCTTTAAAGACAATTTTACACAATTTGTTCATCAAGTTTGCTTACATTTAAAAATCTTCTCCTCTGAAATACAGGTGAGCGATTCAGGCTCTTGAGAGCCTCTTGTTAGTCTTACTTTCCATGAAATATTTGATTAGGATTTTATAAAACATTTTTAACTTTTTGAAAATTCCACATGACAACCGATCAGACAATAGTTTTAAATTGACTGAATGCAGAAAAATACAATAAATGATGCTCAATAGGTAGTAGATACATTTAGCTTTTAAAATACAACCAAGGCATATAATGATCATATTAATGGTGCTATGTGAATAAATTTATCGGTTTACAAGAGCTAAATTAGCGTCATCACTATAAGCTATGTACAATGGCTTCCAGGTTTATCATACTTGTTGGTGAGTTCTTTGAATTTATCTTCATTCACTCTTGTCCTCAGTCCCTGGTTCATATGATTGGCTAAACCATGATTAATTTTTGGACCTGTCTTTTCATCAGAATTTATAATAAAATCTTTCATTGGTTCTAAGACATTTGCATTTTCAGTTTTTTTAGATCTGCTTCATGTTCATCATGATCATTGTTCTCCGAACAATCTTCATCATTGCAATCTTAACTTTGTTTGTCACTTGAAACATCTGGATATAATTCAGAAGGTGCAGAAATATTATTGTTTGTGTCAAACAAACAGTCCATTTGTGATTGATAGTTATCTTTTCTAGATTTATTTTGAACGACCTTTCTTGGTCTGGCCATTGTTGCCAATTGTCTAGAATAAATCTTTGGTGCTGTCTGAATAGTATCAGTTTGTAAATTCTGTTTTTGCATCAAAGTTTGTATGTATAACTGATTCTGCAATAACATATTGTAGAAATCCGATATAGCTACTTCCTGTGTTTGATTGACAGGAGTATTACCCATGGCTCCACCTCCTACAATAATGTTTTCAATACTCGCTTGAAAAGCACTGTTTTTTGTTATCATAACCTGGCGAAATAAGTTGCCTGTGGTCATAATTTGGGCTGAAAATATTGTCACTTTTAGAACTTGTCTTGGCCTTGCCAGAAAGTTCCGTTACCGTTCCATTTGCAAATGTTTGCTGACAACGTAACAAAATTATCCATCACAAGCTACATCGTTAGAATATTAATGAATCCAAAAACTATATCAAATCGTAAATATTGTATTCCAAATGTCACAAATAATTAATTTCCAAATAAAAACAAGTATGATATCCATTATTTCCAATAAACTTAAGAGGGATAAATTTCATGAATTGACCTCATAAGACCAAATACGCTAGTGACCTCTACGATCTGCTTGTGCATCTCATGGTACTCTCAGCATATAGGTTCAATAAAATTAAAAGGTGCAGATATAATGCTACTTTTTCCTTCTTATCAGAGTCCAATCTTTAGGAAAATTGCTCCTGCACATCCAAATGTGAGGGACAAACTAGCATCTATTTTTACACTAAGTGAATCTCTCGAGAGGCTATTATTGACATCCATCTTTTGCCTTTTAACTTGGCAGTTGAGCCTCCCTTGTGAAAGAATTCCTGGATCAGCCTTTGCTTTATAAATCTAGCCAGCATGTATTAAACCAATCTTACTTCATAAGTTAATATATATACATACATAACATATGAATTCAAACAATCATAGAATTTTCATTTCTTTTTCCTCATTAGGTGTCTAGTGCAGTTAAAGAGGCAGAGTTGTATATAAGACAGGGTATTGACAAGGATGGTTTTATTGTCAAAGATATTAATCCTGAAATAGGTGAGTTTTGTTAGAATTTTATGTGTTGTCCTCCATTGATATCTTTGTAACAATACAGCCTTCCATTTCAGTTTCTAGGTAAATTCTAACATTTTGGCATCAAAGGTACAGTGAATTAGAAATTATTGTAAGGTTTCCATTAATTTGTTTGGACACCAATTCACCCACTTCAACTTGAAAATGCCTGTACCAAGTCAGGAATATGACAGTTGTTATTCATTCTTTTGATGTGTTTGAGCTTTTGATTATGCCATTTGGCTACGAACTTTCCGATTTGAATATTCCTCGAAGTTCGGTATTTTTTGTTATTTTAGTTTTTAGAACATATGCTGTTGTTTACTTAAACTAGCAAACAAATTTGCAGAAATGAAATATACATATAGACCAATTTGAACATAAATCATGCCTCAAGTTTTCTTATTTAAATTGTTTTACATTTGTCATTTCGGGGCCTTTTATAGCTGATAATGTGGTATGGTTTATAGTCATTGTTGAAGGCCATACAGTGACATAGTTGTTAATTTCTGTGATGTTTGGTCTCTTGTGGAGAGTTGTCTCATTGGCAATCATACCACATCTTCTTATTTTTACATTAATTTTGAGTTAAAATTTACAAGTCAAAGATTATGCTTTAAAAATTGAGGATTAATGTGCTCGATAGTATGCTTATTGAAGATATTCAGAAAATGGGGTTTATTTTTAGTAGCACTTGACATCTGAATGGTGGTGTTTCACTGCAAGACTTTAAATATTTAAACATTGGTTGAAAATTGTCTTAAAGAAGGATGACTATCACAATAATATAAAATCACAATCCATATATACGAATACAAAATTAAAATTATATCTGTTTGCATTTTTTCATGAAATTGCAAAAATTAATCTTTAATTTTGTATGGTCATGTCAAATTCACAATAATATATTATTGCAATAATTTCTTATTGCAATAATTTCTGATATTTCAGTATTCAACTTAGATAAACTTCATCAATCATGCTAATAAAGTACCATTTTATTTTGTTAAACATATTGTGTCCTTTTGCCTGTCATACAAACATCCAACAAAACACACTATTTAAAACCTGCACAGGAAACATTCGCAACAGGTTTCACTATGTTTAAAATATATCCCTAATTTTATTTGGAATCATCATATGTGTGAGATACTTGTAATTGTCTGAAATTCCTAAACCAATGGAAGAAAAAAGAACCATTTTAACTAGATTTCTAATTTAAATCATGTCTGTAACTCATGCTGTTTAAGATTGCAATATTTTGAACCTGCCAACTGCCTGTTTATTTATGTTTAATGTTTTTGAAGTGATAAACAAGCAACTTGAATAAATTTCTCTGTTGTATTAAATAATTATATGTCTGCTGATTTATGGATCATTTAATTTAAACTGAAGTAATCCTGATTCTGAAGAGTAATAACCTTAATTCCATTGAATACACTGTATACTTCTAAAAATAAATAATATAAATTCAAATCAATACATCCTCACTCTAGGAGAGGGAACTATATTGCAATAAATGTTTGTTGTGTTTCTCTCAGGAACTGCAAATAAGAGCTCATGAAATTTGGTTTTAAGCTTAGGAAAGCATGCTACTACATATATGCATACTGCGAAAGTATTTTTATTCATGGTTATCAATTTTCGTGGATTGAGCAAAAGTTACATGTTCGTGGGTTCTTAAATTCATGGATTTTAGTTTTCTGAGAAAAAAATTTGGGTGAAAATTGGATCCCATCAGAAACGAAGTATCTTGAAAATAATCATATGGTGTTCATTTTCACTTACATGTTAGTCTTTAATTTTCTGACAACATTCATCATATTTTTTATAAAATAATTGCTTTCAGAAATAAGCTGATTCATCTCTCAATACAAATTGTCTCATTGAAGAAAATTGCAAAGTAAACATTTTGATTGTTGCACACCAGCTGTTGCACACGTGTAATCAGAAGTGGTGACACCAATTAACCCGACATCGAATAATCAAGAGATTAACGATCATCAAAGGTGTTAATTGGGCCATAAACATGTCATCTAAAGAAAAAAATTGCATAAAAATGCTACAAATGTACTTTGAAGAAAATTGAGAATGGAAATGGGGAATGTGTAAAAGAGACAACAACCCGACCAAACAGCAGAAAACAGCTGACGGCCACTAATGAGTCTTCAACACAGCGAGAAAATCCCGCACCCGGAGGTGGGCTTCAGCCGGCCCCTAAACAAAATGAATGAATACTTATGAAATAATACTTTTGAAATAAAAAAAGCAAGCCCAATATGCAACAATTATTATTTTTTTCCGTGAGAGAATTATTAGCAGATAAAATTAACACTTCACCATCATACATCTTAACCGGAAGTCTGACTTTCATTTTTCAAAGCTAATTTTTTACTTTGGTTTATAATTTAAAAATTAAAATCCTGTCTGAAGTTGTACATGCTACACTTTTGCTACGCCACTGCATATAGTTCATAGTGTGTTTGCTGATATTTGATGTTTTCTCTAGAAAATATGCCCATATCCATGTAGTCGAACCTACAGGGGATTTTTCCATGTCTTGATTTGAACAACAGTTGTTATATTTCGTTGGACACTTAAATTCGTGGATAAAACCTTCCACGAAAACCACGAAAATTGGTACCCCACGAATAAAAGTACTTTTACAGTATTCGTGTGTGTGTGATGCATGAGATGCACTAATATATTTCTGGTTTACTTATAATAATGTATATATGTGGTAAAATAATTAAGCAATGGTATTGTTAAAGGGCACAGCTTATAGGATGTAAAGCACAAAAATACTTACAAATATATTATTAGTTTTCTTGTTTAATTTTTTACATTTTCATTTTGGGGCTTTTTATAGCTGACTATACAGCATGACTGTTTTATCTTTGTTGAAATCCATACAGTAACCTTCAATTGCGTAATATATCCTTTTCATTTGAACTTTGGTCCCAGGATATTTGTCTCATTAGCAGTCTTACCATATCTAATTATTTTTATATGTACTTATAGACTGAAACATGTCTTTCCATATCTGTCCTGGTATCATCCCAAGCCACTAATATTAGCTAAAGGCACAAGCTGAGGGCTCATATGGATCAAGGGATGATATTAGGGCCCATATGGAAAAGAACATGTCATATATTTATAATTAAATACATATGCTTAAGGAAAGAATTTTATGATTAGTCTGGCAAGATCATAAATGTTTTTCCACTGAAATAATTTCACTATTACGAAACTCAAAATACTTGAAAATTGTAATGTCATGTGAGATTTTCTTTTAGCAGTTAAGTGTTAGTTATCTTTATTTATTTGACAAAATTTTTTTCATTGATTTTGACAAAATGAGCACCTCTTCATCAGTCATTGCTGTTAGAAATGCTTACAACATCATTAATAACCAAATGACAAGGCACAATTAACTGGTTATTTGGAAATACAAATAGGGCAAATCTGTGGTTATATATATATATTGTGTAAATATGCAAACCCCAATGTTTCATAACAAATATATGATAAATGTATTCATTGAATATATTTTAGCTTAAAAATATAAAATTACATATTAAGTAGTTGCATATATACATGTAAGATTACTATTCAGTGATATACTTAGAAAATTAAGCTTGAAAAAATCATCTGAATAACAATGAATTAAGAGATGTGGTATATAATTGCCAATGAGGCAACTCTATTGAATCAGATGATATCCACCAGAGTTCAAATGAAGTGGATGTAAGCAATTATAGGCAACCCTACCACCTTCAACAATGAGAAAAACTGTCTATAAAAGGCACAAATATGAAAAATAAGGAACAATTAAATAAGAAAACTATTTATTTGTACTTCCACATGTTCAAGGTTCAAAATTTGAAAGAAACCAAGGTCTCTGCTCTTTGGTCGGGTTGTTGTCTCTTTGACACATTCCTCATTTCCAATTCTCAATTTTACTCATTAGAAAGGTCCTTAGTACACCGGTAACCTGTTATACTCATTATGAGTCAGCCAAAGAATGGAAACTTTGAAAGTAAACATGAGTTATTAAATAATTTATTACACTCCAGTATAAAAAACTGGAAGATTACAGTTTAGACTTAAATTTTTACTAAACAATTTAGCAGAAATCATTTAAATTTATTTATAAATCAGTGAGCACATTTTTCAACCCTGATATTTTTCTGATTCTAAACAAATGCCATTAATGAATTTTACTGTATGACTCTTGTACATTCTAGACAGTGCATGATGTAAAAGTCCCACGCTTTTGTAAAATGTATCAGACTAAATTTGCAAATGGAATGTTAGCACACTAATTTCTGTGTAACTATTACTTTTCCTGTCTGACAGGGTCACATGACCTTAACTTCATTTTAATGAATCAGTAATCATTTAGTTGTTACTATATCTAGAACATTATTTTGTAAGGTGTAAATTCCATCTGACAGAGATGTTTGTCTTTGATAAAAATTAATTCATAGTTCAGTGTTAATGATTAGTTTTCTTGAACAGATTGAACATGTTGAAGAAAGTATATAATCTCTGCAACCCATATGTTTCCTCCATTACAAATAAAAAGGAAATGGGAGTGGAAGAAAATGACATGCCAAGTAAAAAAAAAATAAATGGAAATTCTTACATGCCTCAAATTCTAATTGCTAATTAACTCAAAGGAAATGATATATTTACAATCTTTATACTTATAACTGAAAACAATAACACATAAAATATGTTACAATAAATACATAATAAAATATTAATAGAATTAAACAAAAAAATGAAAAAAAGAGGGATTCAATGCCATATGCACATAATAATCTATAATGGTTAATGAATTCCAATAAATACAAACCAGAGGCGGATTGGGAGGGGTAACAGGGCTTGGATCCTCCTTTTTAGCTCACCAAAGGGCCCCATGTGAGCTTTTGCCATCACTTGGCGTCCGTCGTCGTCGTAAAC